AGACCACTTGAAGGAGGATCTTGGCCGAGAACCTGTAGAAGCACCCGAAGCAGGAGCTTGTCCAAGGACCTGTGGACGACCTGTGTTGCAGCAGCTTGCAGCAGAAGCTGTGTCTCAGGACTGCTTGAACGAGAATCTGGCCGAGCACTTGTAGAAGCAATTGTAGAGGCCACCAAAACGGAGACTGGCAAGCAAGATTGCGTGCGCTGGCCCACACAAAACGCATTTGGACACCCCATAAATCGTTCTACACTATCACAAAGGGCCAGAGCCCCGATGGAGCACCTCGATCAGCACCGGGCCCCAACAACGACCGTAAGAAGCCCTGAGGTGACTGAGTGTGCAGTGTGCGCCACACTGTTTTGGGTATGACATCGACACGAGTCCCTCCATTCTTGAAAGTATGTGTATGTAAAAATATAGAAAAAAGAAATAGATATAAATATATATATATAGCATCATATATATGAGAAGCGGGAAAAACCCGTCTTTCTTCACTTCTTGGCTCACCCTTCCTCTCCCGTACGCGTCTAGAGCCGAAGTCCAGACCTGCAGGCCGCTGTTTCAATTTCAGTTTTGGGGCCCGATACCAAAGCAATGCGAAGAGCTGGTGTCTCTATCAACCGTAGCTAAGGTGTTCCTCTAACGTTCCCAATGTATGAAAATGATAGATCACTGACGACTAAATGAAACCCGTGCAGCGCATCTTTTCTGCATTATTACGCTTGGTTTGCAGTATTGAAAACGCCACTCGCATGTCTGGGATGCTCACAGGAACGTTTTCCAACATGCAACAAATACCCCACAGGATTTCCAACATGCATCAAATACCCCGGCCCCAACCCAGCAGGGATGCGTGACATTGCCACAATCAAAAGATACACCTAAGTATATATCAGGCAAGCCGCAGGCCCCCGCCAAGATGTCTCAACAGGAATTTGAAGCCAGTGGGTTCAGCTTGGGAAATCTTCTTTGCAATTTTGCGAAGCCACTGGATGCCCTTCATGCGCACCTTTAGAATCCTTAGAAGCCTCAGCTTCTTGGCGCCAAAAAACGAACAAATAAACAAACAAAGAAACAAAGAAAGAAAGAAACAAACAAACAAACAAACCAAACAAACAAACACACACACACATACAAACAAACAAACACACTCTGTCTCTCTCTCTCTCACACACATCTATCAATTTTGCAGGCTTTCACGAACCTAGGTGTGTCAAACGCCTAAATGACCAGGGTAATGCAACAGAATTCAGCCATATCTCAAAAATCTATGAAAGCTCATGTCAAGATGCCGAAGTTCAAACCCCATGAAACGAACGACGAAAGACAAGAAGGGCGGTCATCGAACTCATTAGCACTTGACCGAAGAGTAGGGTGACAGCTTGAGAACACCACAACCAAGCAGGTACACTTCCATAGCCCCTTGCTCTATAAAAGCGTAACCGACGTGATTCCAGTGGTGACACGCACACACCCACACACAAGCAAGAAACGCCTCAAGAATACGCGCGACGCAAAGCACATGCGACCTGGAAGCGCAATCCTGGTTCGCCTTCCAGCGGTTGAAGGGCAACACCCTGGCTCCGTACCCCGTGCAAAAGTCAAGAGCTGCTTGCGCAGCAGCGTCCGCAAGCGCTAGCACCTCGTCGTAGTACTTCAGGAAGCTTTTTAAGGCAAACGCCTCGCCGGTCAAATCCTGCGCGCTTGAAAAAGGCACAGCGAAGAGGATCGCTAAACAAATTTGAGGTCTTGCATGGAATTCAAGTACTCATGGCGGACACTGAGTATGCCCCTCATGAACATACAGCTCCTGGAAGCTGAGCCGTAATCGCTGGTAGGCTTCTGCATGATTGAGGATTCCTCTGAGGCACCTGGTCATGCTCAATGTTAAGTTTCAGACGTTGAACGTTGAGTTTCCGTACCCAAGACGATGCCCAAAATAGGACAGCCTAAAGGGCACTGCTACCAAGAAACAGCACATGAAAAACTGCATCGCATGGAGAACAGCTCTGACAAAGCCAGTGGCAATAGAGGGTTGTTCTGTCCAGCAACCAGTGAGCTGAACCATGTCTTGTCCTCAATGTAGTAAAGAACTGAACGCTTCAGGATTTAATGGAAACAATATGCATATGCAAATTGCATACGCCGTCCTCCCCCTCAAAAATTGTATGACAAATCAAGATGCGCAAACCTTGAAAAATGCAAGGCGCGCGTGGAAGGCTGGACCAAGGACAGACGTGTCGATGGAAAACAACCTGAGCCCAGACCATCCAAGGAAAGAATGGCCGAAGCGCTGTCTTAGCAAAACTAGGCTGCAACGCCGGCCACGGAAACTCTGTAGAGACAAAATCGTAGGACGACGTGTTGAGCAATGCGAAGGCTTCTCAACCAAACAGTATGTATGTCTCCTCGAGTTTTCCCCACTGTTTGTGGTAGGTTTTCTATCTCCAACTCATAGATACAATACTTTTCTGTATGAAATGCGTCGATCCCAGGTACCTGGAAATGATCCAAGGACATTTGTGGAGTCATGATATGTGGAAAGCACGGGGCTCTGCAATGCTGCTACCCAAGATACTTTTTGATCGCTGGCTCGGCTCTCATCTCTTGCAAGGGTTGCCAAATGCGACGGGCTTGGATCGTTAATGCCGCCACCCACCAAATGGCAAACGCCTTCATCCGATAAATCGCTCCAAAGACTCCTGCTCAGAGGCGCCCGCTAGAAACAATTCAGCCCACTCCTAAGGCACACCCTTGCTACTACTCCGGCAAGTGACTCCAACTATGACCGCTAGAACCCCAGAGTCTGGAAGTCTGTGCAGGATATGCGCATGACCTGGTGTCTTAAGAGCTCTGTCTCCAGTCTTGAAAGCACTTGTGTCTCCGATCTAAAACAGCTAGCGACCATCAAAAAGCCAGAAGACAGATGGGGAACCCTGATCGGCGCGGTCCCTTATTGCTAGAGTCCCTGTGTCAATAAAAGAGGCCTCGCCTGAGCACACCTTGCAAAGCCGCAGGACCGCTTTGTCTTCACGATGCTCAATCAGGCCCACTTCTCTCAAGACATGTTCCCTGAAGCAAGCGCATTGTGGAAGTACACATTGTTTGGACTACGTGACAGTGATCGACTGCCTAGTGGCCCACATACAGGGGAACCTTCGGAAAAAAATCGTAGCCTGAGAATCAAGTTTATGTTCTCCCTGCTGCCATTTCTATAAATAATTACCAACATACAGCGCAAAGATCATCTTCCTGGTGTTCTGACAACAAAAATTTCTTGCATTGGCTTTCTAGCATCTCAGGCACGCGCAAGCAAGTTTTCCAATGCCCCTTATCCCGTGGTCTCCGAGCGGCTGACAGTGCGAGATTGGATCCGGATTCGATCCGACCACAGTCTTGCACAAGCAGCACAAGCGCTGGTTGCTAGGCATGGCTGGCTTTCTAGTCAGCGTACTATTCCTATATCTCTGTCTCACTGGTTTGGAGTATGTACCGTTGCGCATGGCCTATTCAGCCTATTCCTTGACCTGGAGCATGCATGGTCGTACACACGTTTTGACGACATCCTTCTGGGAAGTCCTAGGTGTCTAGACATCGGCCAAGGCAAGGCTGGGAGCCAAAGAACCCTAGATGTAATGGCACGCCGTCGTGTCCAGTTCTTACGGCCATGACCACACCAACTGATCTGACTTCATGTTGAACAGCACACACGACGCAAGTCCCTTGGGCCCCATACGGACCTCAAGAGCGAGATGGACTGCGAGCACCTATGACATAACCTTAGCTCTGCTGCCGGATGTAATATGTAGACATGTAAATGTAAACCAAACTGTGAGGTTACTTAGCGTCATCAACTTCTATATTCTATACTAAGGGTATGGAATCAATAGAAAATATTGTTACAATCATGCGCGCTCATTGATGGTATAAAAGCAGCAAGTGTATTATGGATATACTAATTTTGTCACAATCATGCGCGCTCTCATGCGCGCAGGCATTCGCTCCTTTGGTCGCTTGCTTGCATCAACTGCTATATGAAGCATATAGAACCAGTAAACGCTTTCCAGTATTGTTGAAAATAATTTGTTACAACCATGCGCGCGTGCGCTCGCGCAAGTGTCTCCGTGCGCTCGATGCGCGCGCATAGTCCCTGCGCGCTCTTACGCGCGCATGCATTCACTTGTTTGGGTGCATGCTTACATCAGTTTCC